TTAAGGATATCTAGAAGAACTCTAAGATATACCCACTTGGAAAATTGATGATGATTATTAAGGATATCTAGAAGAACTCTAAGATATACCTCCTTGACCAATTCATATTTCGGGGTTAAAACGTACGTACGGGATCCAGAACGGATATCACCCACCCGACAGTTCACTGTTCGGTTGGTACGTAATCCACATGACTCATAGGGTGGATTATCGGTTCTTGTGTTCTGCATTAAACTATTTATAGTTTAAGGGCCTGGTTAGAAATATTGCCTTAGACTAGGGACAACTAAGAGCTTGTATAAAAATGATTTGGCCTTAGATTAAGAATAATTTAAGAGCACTGATGAAATATTTAATATTGAATATATCATGAAATGACTTAAAATAAAATATTGTGAATATCATGAATAATGTATGCTTGAAATATGTATTGTGAGCATGATATCAAATGGTTAATTATGAATTGAGATTCAATTTATATGGATGTTCGATGCATTAGATATGCTTACTCAGCTTCAACGCTGAGCGTGTAGTATGTTTTATTTGCTACACGCAGGTAAACAAAAAGATTAAAGTGATCCTGGCGGCAGATGGGGCGAGATTGTCGGGATGGATGTGACAAGTTTTGAAATGATTTATGATATGTCAATATTAAATTCTCTTCCGCAATATTGTTAAATACTCCGTACTGTATATGTTATGAAAAATATTATTGAGATTAATAAAGTGTGTTTGAAAAGTTTTAAATTTTACGATTACCAAGTTAAATACTTTAGTCCGAATGGGGCTGCAGACCTGAACGGATTAGGGTGTTACAATTCTTGCACCGACATTAGAGGTTGTTGATGTCATCAATGACTACATGACATCGATAAATTCAGTTGGAGAAGCGAAAACTTACTTAAGCTCCGATAGCGTTTGCAAGTCAGACTCTAATGTGGATGCAATATCAGATTTGCACTCTCCTGAATTTTTAAACAACATAAGGGCATCTGGTGTGCCCAATCACGAGCTAAAATTAAAGGTTGGGACACCGATCATGTTATTGAGAAATATTGATCAATCTATGGGGCTGTGCAATGGAACTAGATTGATTGTTACAAGATTGGGAACACATTTGATTCAAGGAAAGGTGCTGGGTGGTAAGAATGCAGGCCACGAAGTAGTCATTCCCCGACTTACTCTCACTCCTTCAGATATTAGGATTCCTTTTAAGTTTCAAAGGAAACAGTTTCCCATTATGACGTCTTACGCAATGACAATTAACAAAAGTCAAGGCCAATCATTGAAGCACGTTGAATTATTGCTGAAGAAACCAGTTTTTAGTCATGGTCAACTATACGTTGCTGTCTCTCGAGTTACCAGTCGACATGGTTTAAAGGTTTTGATTTGTAGTGATGACCTATCAACTTCAAATACAACAAAAAATGTAGTGTACAAAGAAGTATTTCAGAACCTCTAATTTTGCTCCTTTGTTTGAATATTATTAACCAACATTACGATGTAATCTTTATATTTCATATAATTTTGCTCTGTTTACTTATGTACACGATAAATTAAATATACTAATCTTAATAACTGTTTCAAATTATTGACCGTGCATCGCACGGATTAGGATACTAGTGTATCTAAACATGCAACGAGTTCATTCTTACAATTCAAGCAGAACTCAGAATATCACTCTCATAGTGCATGCTACGAGGAACTAATCTTATACCTCGTTACAAATGTACCTCTTTTGGACCCAAGTGGGCTCAAAATGCTACTCGTAATTTCTTTTGAATAAAAAGGGAAGTAAGAGTAAGCCAAAAATGGATAAAAAGGACACTTAAAATAAAATTAATTTTTCCTTCTCGAATAGCGGAGTAAGAAGAGGACAGCAACGGCCAAACTGTCAAATTCAGCCCGCCAAAAACAACTCCGGTTTGATAATGGCCGCTCCTCCCA